CGAGTATGCGGATAGCACCGACAACCGGGGCCAGCAGTTGATCATGACGTAAGCGCATACCCCCCCCCCCTTGAATAAAACCATTTGAAACGCCGCAGCGCCAGCATTTCTTTCAGCAAACATGTTTCGTTCGCCGTGCGCCTTTCTCTCGTTGTGTCTTGTAGTAAGTTCTTGGTATTACTTTATTCTACAAGTTGAAAGTGCCCCTCAGAGAGATGTAAATGACCTTACTAAGGAATTACAACAACGTGGTTTTAAACCACTCTGTTCTAGTAATGATTTCAAGACTTCGTTCACATGTACATCGTGTGGAACTTCTCTGCATTATCAAGACAATGCGAAAGCAATGTGGCTGATAAAGCGGCATGCGAATGAAAACTCTCATAAAATCAAAGCCGGATGGTACTTGGATGCAAACAGCCACGTTCTGGTAAGTAAGCCAAAAGGTAAGCGACAATAACTTACTGTTTGCTCGTCAATCTTAAGGGCATCTGCGGTCCTTTTGATGATGCCTTTATCTGGCGCGCCCCCAGAAGACAAAAACACTGTGTCCAGGGCAGACAACTCTAAGTCTGAAAACTTCTTTCGCTTTCTGGGGACTTTAGCGTTTTCTTCTGATTCATCTTCCACTTGGCTCTTCGATTTTTTCGCTTTTGCGCCTTAAAAAGAAAAATCAGATGATTCAGGTTGAATACATTCAATTGCACTGCGTTTCCGGTTTTTTCCTTGTATTTCCGCCGGTGGAGGTGTTAAAATTATTTATTTTTTTTTTTCACCTTCAAATCTTTTAGCATGTTTACACTGATGTTTAGAAAGATATGAACAGTTACTGGGATATTGAGCTTACCTTCCCTGAGCTGTTGTAGCAGCTCCTCTTGCTTCTCTTCGCTTTAAAAAATCGTTCAGTTCTTGCCAAACTGCCCGGCCATGTGTTTTTGGCGTAGTTGATGGTGCCTTTGACATGTAATCTGAAAACGATCCTTGTGATCGATGCAAAATTTTCTCGGCGAAAACCTTTTGAGGAACACTGTTTCTTTGGAGCCATCGACAAATTTTTGACGCGATTTCCTTTGGCACAAGAGCTTCTGCGTCAGGCACTGCGTCAGAACACCCGGGATCACATGTGGCATTTACATCTGAAGTCTCCGAACTCTCCACGCTTCCTCCTTTTTCTGTGACAAAACCTTTCAGATCATCCAGATATTTATCACGGATGATAACCGATACTTTAACAACCTTAGAGGCTTCCATTTCATTTAGCGTTCGTGGTGCACGTGGACGGAGAGAGAAAAAGAGCCTTCTGAACGCAACGCACAGACTAACTGACGCTGACAGACCGTACATGCGTGCAATAGCAAAGCATGCAAGGTTAAAAATAGAATGTAAATTATCATACCCCCCTATGAGGCTAAGACAACACACTGGACAACATCAGCGTGTTATGAGAACAATAGAGGGAATCTAGGCGAATTTTTCATTTCAAAAATGTGTTTTAGAAACACCAGTTGTCAGAAAGTGTTTTATGAAAATTACCCGCCATTCGGGTTTGTTTGGAACGGTTTGTCTTGTGTGAGTCTTGACGTCTCTCGCGTGCTCTGCTATTGCACAATCAGAGAAGGCTGGTAATAGAGATTGTGGGTGGTGGGAACAAAAGAAAACGAAAAAACAGTATCAGTCAATGATAGCTTTATTACTATCTCCAAACAGTAGTATTCATACACTGATTAAGAGTGCAGTACTGACGGTCTAGAAAGAATTGTGACGATATTGCCCCCCCCCCCCCGCCCTCTTTCCCCGGGCGCCCGGATACAAGCACTTAAAAGTCCGTCCAGCCACCCTACGAAATTGTCTAAGCCGGGATTTTCTAGTACAAGAGGACTTTAAGTGTATGTAATTACGGATCTTTGAGTACAATCTTTGTTTTTACACAACAGGAAACAAACTATTGACAACTTTCTGTGGAAAGGCAGCTACAAACAGAGTCCCCGCAAGGCCACCGCCCACCCTGCCAGTTACTACAACCGATTCAAAATCTGCATATTCATTGAGCATGAGGACAATTGCTCTGGCCGCAGAGACGGAAAAGGTTGTCTCAGAGACACGAAAAGAAATGAATAAGAAATTTGGACAAAGAGTAGGTGAAATGGTGTTGGAATCTTCACCATCTTCGTCAGCGCATACATCAACAACCATGGGGTCAACCATTCCAGTTGAAGAGATTATCTGCAATACAAAACTACAACACGTTGAACGCACTGCGGAAGCAAGAGACAACATTGAAAAAATGTTACTTTCGTCAGCACTGTCGAAAATGCAACGGATGTCTTCTTTTACGGCGAAAATAACACATCTTTTGACAGAATACAGATACAAAATGCATAAATCCACTGAGGAAAGAATTGATGCAATGCAAAAGTTCTGGGGACCGTCGCATCAAGATAGAAACTATTGTGAAAAAGTTAATCTACTGACATCCTCGTTAATACAAGGCATGGTAGGAGTGTATTCTTTAACAGGAAAGTACAGGAATGAAATCGCAAAACTTCGGCTGCAAGTAAAATATTCAGAAGAGGCATTACACGACTTGGAGCGACAGCTAGCCGGAAAAAATGCCCGAGAGCAGTTGCCAGATATTGCAATGCAACTTGCCGCAGTGATTGGAAATCAGGGTGAGAAGAGTAGCACATTAATATCCATTGTTTCCAATCTACTAACAAACAGCATAAAAGAAAGTAAACGCTGGAATGATGACACAAAATCGTTTTTTGCAGTTGTCCTGGATTATGGTGGGCCGGCATTGTTAAGAATAATAAGAGAAAAAATTGGCGGGCCAAGCCTTCAGACCGCTTACGTAACGGCAAGAAGCAAATTCCATACTCCGACCAAATTAGAAGCAAGTATTTTTGTCAAAGCAGCTTCCTTCTATGATCGAATTGGATATCACGGGCCCTTTATCATTGCTATTGATGCGACAGCCATATTACCTTCTGTCAGGATGCAAGGAAACAAGTTGATAGGTATAGCCACTGAAGAGGATGTTGTCGTAAAAACAGCACAAGACATCATTGACATTACAGGCAATGAAAGCATGGAGAAAGCGCGATTAGCCAATGCAATTGTCCTGACCCCCTTAAAGGAGCATGTTCCTTGCTTTGTGCTTGCTGTGTCAGCTGCTGTTAAGGGACAGAACTTTGAAACAGTTGTTAACTGGTTCAACAGTGCAGTAAACTGGGGGGCACAACAAAATTTGAAAATATTAGGCATTGGCGCTGATGGAGATTCTAAGTTTAGAAAATATTATTTCGAACGGTTCTTAAAAAGGCGCGAACATTTGAACAAAGTGATTTCGATTCCCCACAAAGGCTTCAATTTTGTCAGTGTTGTCGAAGATATCCACGGTATAACAGTCCCTACTCTTATGTTTCCTGACTGGAAGCACCTAATTAAGAAATGGAGGAATCAAATACTGAACATTAGACGGGTCCTGGTGCTCGGAAACGGATTCGTCATGATCGAGGACTTAATGCGACTGTATGAAAGAAACAAACTGACCAGTGGTTTATGGAAAAGTGACGTTTTTGTTAGGGACAGACAGAACGTGGATGCCGCACTGCGGATTTTACAGCCACAGGTCCGACAGTGCTTACAAGACTGGAATGACCAACGTACGGAAGCAACTCGTACTTACCTTAAGATAGGGCATAACATGATGAGAAGTTTCACAGAAGAAAACTTACCCGTCAAAGAAAGAGCAAAGCTAGCGTGGTCGGCGGTCTGCTTTGTTCGTTTATGGAAAGCATGGATAGAGATGTCAAGCTATTCGATAGAAACCTCCTTTATATCGTTGCAAACGTACAATGATATGATACTCGCAGGACATACACTTGTCCTCTCGATGAAACTTTTCTCCAAGCATTTTCCTGATGAACCGTTCCATCCCAAAGTTTTTGGTTCGGATAGCTGCGAAAGACTGTTTGCGAGGTTTTTATAGAGGCAAATCAAATTTATGCATGCTAGACATACTTGACATTTGTGGGAGAATTGTAAAGTTGGAGGAGCTGAGATACAAAGAGGTTCCTCCGAAACAAACTCAAATGTCCTGGTCGACGAATACAGAACAAGAAATTCTGAGTGGGTTACAAGAGGCCGAAAGGGAAGTTCTAAAAACAGTTGAGCAATTGGGTATGTTGCCGTTGCTTACTGCTGGAAACATCCTTAGGAAAGATAAGGATGGTGAAATAGTTTATCTGAATCCAGGAATGGAATCCACCTTAACAGATATTGGTGTCGAGCCAGATGAACTCGATTCTATACCGTTACAGGAACTGATAGAAGCAGAAAGTGACGTTTTGTGCTCTGTTGCCGAAGAAAACGACCACAGTTCAGCATATGCTCTGTCAGATATTGCTGCATCTGCCCAAACATCCGTAACTGCACAAACAGATCTGCTAGAAGACGAGGATGATGACGACCCTAGCCACTGCCATTTGTTTCAATCGGGGAAATGCAAATACATGGATGGGAACTTCAAGGCACCAGCAAAAACTCACTGGTTGGGTTGCGATTACCCTGGGTGTGAAAACTGGTTTCATGAATCATGTTTAGGACTTAAATTCCAATCCGATTTTGAACGGGAAAACTATGCGTTTGTATGTAAAGTGCATGACAGCGTTAAGGACATGTTTAACAACCAAGTAACCGCAACGACAACGGATCTTACCATTCTAGATGAAGAGCAATCTGAGGGTCAGCCACCCTCAAAGCGGTTAAGAAGAACGCAATACAAAGAAGGATCCTCGTTGTTTACTGACCAGACGGTGCGCCCAAATTACGTCGAATACGAAGGCGAATACTATCACATTGCTGAATTTTTATCCCTTCACCAAGGGAAAGTATACAACCCCTCAGCATCTAGGATGTCTCGCTGGATGGCAATTTCGAGAAACGATTTCTATGAACGAGTGGAGAAACTAGTTTCGCCAAATAAAACCGATTCTGGGCTCTATCTTGATGATATTGCGGCGTTCTGGGTTCCAGGGGTTGGTTTGAAGTGCGGTCTAGTTTTGCGACTGCTGCGTAAGACGTCAGCTAAGTCCGAAGTGCCGGTATTCGAGTGGAAAAAAACAAACAAAAAAGAAACACTTAAATTTTCTGTTTGCATCCAGGTGCTTTCAGCAACCAAGATAGATGGAGGGAAGTGGTCATTGTCCAAAACAAAGGAGAACTTATGGACTGATTGTAGCGCGCACCTGTTAACTTTTGCCGAAGTACCTGAAGTTCGACTTTGGCCGGTCGCTGTAAACGCTGAACATCTAGAGGAGATTTTACCGGAGCTTGAGGCAGCTGAAAGGGAACGTTTACGTGCAGAAGAGCGCTGTAGAGAAGAAGAGAAAAAGAAAAAGAAAATGGGAGAACCAGAAAATATGACCATACGTCTTCTCAAAGAAGTTCTTGACGACCTAAACGTCACTTATAAAGCGAGTGACAAGAAACAAGACCTTATTGCCAAAGTTCGCCAGGCCCGGGAAGAGTTGCAAGAAAGTCATTGTCAACAAGGCAGGCCCTTTCATTTTCCATTGAATTATAATAATAACCATGATGATGACCAATCACACTGGCATAAAATTAATAGCGTTACATTTAAGGCCTCTTTGTTCCCGTTAATTTATTACGACGAGAGAAAAGAACGATTTCTACATCTTTTATTTCAGTTGCTCTTTCTTTTTGAACTTATAGGTTTATACTTGGAAGTAATTCTTTGTCAAGCAGTAGTTTGTTTTATTGTTATGGTCTACAGTTTACATCTACATGTAGGTTTGGTCACAGGCTTTGTTACTGAGTTCTTTCGTCTTTGGATGGAGTTACTATCTTGTTGGCTATTCGCGAAAGTAAATTCAGAAATGCTTTCTGGCCTGGACATTACAAGTCTGCCTTGCCAAGCTTTAAAAGCGATATAGATATCTTTGATTGCAATAGTTTTTAGGTTGTTAATGTTGAAACAGAACGAGAAAAGGACTCGTGAAAGATAAACCTGCAGGATAAACTCTAGCAGGCGTGCCAGAAAGCGTGACTTCTTGGACGCGTAAATTACAGTTGCGTTACACTGCGTTACGTTGCGTTACAAAATGTTCAATGTCTTGTTGTTTTAATACACTGCATGCTCGATTCTTTTAAGTTTTATAGCGAAATTTAAACTCCGATAGTCAAACTTCAATAAAGTGTTAAGAGGATGTTAATTGAATTTATATGGACTGCTGTTTATTAGTTCGAGTGAGTTGGGGATTCGTTCTGGCGAGGATCAACCAGGCGCTAGAAATAAACACTTGACGAAAGTGAATCGACACGATCCTCGTCTATTTTCGAACAAATCGATAAGATCGATAGCTAATTACAAAAATCGATCAAAATCAATTATCACAAGAAAACGAGCGATCAATATATATCGATCTCCGATATTATTCGATTGATTATTATCGATTACGATCGATTACGATCGATTTCTATCGAGTATCGAAAATATCGATTAGATACGCCCTGATATACGGGTCGGCAGTTCACTTCTGCTACAGAAAAATCTAATCGTTAAAATGACTGTTTTGGCTGTTTTTAATTTTGGTCGAAAGTAAACAAGTGGCCTTCAGAAGCAAGAACCTGTTGAAGTGTTCCAAATAAATGGCGAAAATCGCTACAGAGGTGCTGCAGATCATAGTCCTATTTTCCCGCCGAAACTACATTGCATTAGATGTCTATTAAATTTTGTTGGGCGAGCTATATTTCAGTAACTTACCTTCCACAACTTTGTCACTAAACTCATCATTCGTTTCAACGTCCTGGTTATGTCCAGAGGCTTGTGAAGAATCGGCAAAATCAGACATTTCACTGTCTTCACGCTCCGTCCGTCTCTCCGCCATCTTGCAACCCAAAAACTGTCCCGCAGCAGATCGAGGCAGGATTGAAAAGTGGCGCTAAAATACGTCATACGAGAACGTCATAGAATGACGTGACTGCACACCAGTCTCCAGTCTCTCCCGCGCATTGGGGTTTTTTTAAAGATGGCTGACTCCGGAGATAGCGATTATCTCCTTCACGGATGCAGATACTTAGAAGGAGATGAGCCGAATCAACCTCATTTTCACTGCCCTTGCGTTGTTTGTAACGGTAGAGCTGTGTCCCTCATGACAGGTTGGACGCATCGCAAAAAGAACAGAACATTGAATGCTGACCAAAAGAACTTGGACGTACAAAAAGCTGTGCACAAAATAGCCTCACGTTGATCGTGAGTGTTATTACGAGGAAGTTACAACTGCAAGTTTTTTAGCCGCAAATAAACGCGGAAATCTTGCTGACGCCGAACCATTACTTCTCGGCGATAACAGCGTCTTAGCAAATGAGGATGACGATGCCCTGTTGGAGGAAGACTTCATTGATGGACAGAGCGACAAAATGGAAAGCTGTTGTCAGGGCGTTACCAATCGATGAAATCGATGATCGGAAAATCAATCGATCAATCGATGACAATCAATGCCAATTAATCGATTGATATCGATAATCGATGAACAATCGATGCTCGGGTTTTATGTGATTATCGATTTCATCGATTATCAATTCTTATCGATTATCAATGCCAATCGATCAGTTAATTGTCATCGATTGGTTTTCAGTTTTTATGCGTTTTATTTTCAGTCAAGATTTCCAAAAACACGGTCTCTTTATGCATTTTAATGATGAAAACTGCAATAAAACTTTAATTTTTTTCACAACGGTGATTGATACATTGTGGAGAACATGGGTATACGATTTTATGACAATATCAATTTTCAATTAGGCATCAAATTGATGAATTGTGATGAAACTGTGATCAAAGAAGATTAATTGTCGTCGCTTTAAAATTGATACCATCCAATGTAATGCTGGCATCATATTAAAAACATTAAAAATCATCTTAAAACGCTAACATTAGTTATGATTTGCCTTTCAAACTGTATATTGAACTGTAACATAAAAATGACAATTTAACTGCCTTGAAAAAGAAGGTCCCCAAAAGGGTCTGGTGGCTAGAAGGCTCGCGCATTAGTTGCAGTAGCGACAGGCAGCACAGAACGTGTCTATAGGATACTGGTCACCACAAAAGGAACGTACATTTACTTGCGCAAACATAGAAACTCTGTCCCGCTGGATTAAAACTGTGATAGAAGCAGCTGGAATAGATACTAGTATTTTCCATCCCCACAGCACAAGGGCAGCTGTCACATCAAAAGGAAAAGCAGCATGTGTACCCATTCAGGAAATCCTGGACACTGCAGGCTGGTCATCATCAAAAACATTTGACAGGTTTTATAACAAGCCTGCATCTAATGAACTTACATTTGCTAACTCACTTTTAAAAAAGGATTAGGAGAATCTTTTCGGTGAACTATGTTTATCCTGTTATACTATTGATACATCAGTGTAAGCTACTTTTGAACCCTTATATTATGGGAGTTATTATCCAGTCATAGGTATTCACACAAGTTGTGTTAATACAAGTTGATAACTGTTACATGGACCCTCTAATAAACCTTTCATGGTTACCTCATGTGATTGCCTTGCTTTAAAATCTCATGGGATCCCTGTGGCAGTGGTGACGAAATAGAATTTAAACATTAAACGAGAATTACCTGGAAGTTGAAGTTTGATTGTAATTCTATCGAGTCACACACTGCCATAGAGGGATCACATGCCCTTCCCATCAACACCATTCAGGTGTTGTCTTGCCCTACCCATGTGTTATCTAGTACTTGCTGTAGCTGTACCCGTTTACTATAGGCAATCACATTTCGTGCTTCAAATACTGACGTGCGCATGCGTACTGCAATCTCATGTGATCCCTCTATGGGAGTGTGTGACTCAATAGAATTACAATCAAACTTCAACTTCCAGGTAAGTCTCGTTTAATTTTTAAATTTTGCGGCATAACAATGTAGCCTTGTACTACTTTAACAAAGTTCATTTATTCATTAAAGGAATGCATACATTTTACTACAGTTAAATAACACTGTATACGACTTGAAACATATCGTTCTGACGCATTAACTCACTTCCATAGATCAAACTAACAGCAGCTGACTGAGAATCCCTAGTTATTATTACTTACCATTCGATTTTGAGCAATCCAACACCCACTGCCCTGGGAAGCTTAACTGGTCGATTAGGACAGCTATCAGCTCTCCCGCGTCTTTACTGGGGAAAACATTGGAGGCACTCTTTTCTTTTACGTTGTAGGCTTCCTCTGTTATATCGCCATTGATCGTATGGCGGCCAACAAGAAGGGGCCTCAGGCATTTCACGAGAAAGTGGTCTGTTTTTATGCGACACAGTAGCAACGTTTTACGGCAATAATCTATTCATACAAATCGTTTACATTTAATGCTGTGCACATGCATATGGCTCTAAACTAAAAGAACCAATGCAGAACCAATGCATTCATGCAGTGAAGCAATCTTTGAGTTGAATTGTCCTATGGAATTGAAAACAGGAAAAAAAATCGAACGGAAGTTAATAACCACACAAATGCTAACTCTGTTATCGTAATCCTGGGCGAAAAGGTTATTACGAAACTTAATGCCAGCATACCTGGCAGTAGTATATTTGCATGCAGCTCTTTTTTCGACAGCTACGCACCTAAACTGACCTTTCACGGATGTAGTACTGCCAGCTACGCAATCTGTACAGTAAAAACTCGATGTTTGGAGTTGTTGCGTCTGTGAAATGAATCTAATAAGGGGCTAATAACATGAACCTGGCTGGCCCGGTTGGCCGGGCTGACTCGCTTTACGTTACAATAACAATACATACAAATACGGAATTTTCTCGCTTAAAATGTTGATTTTAACCAAAAAAAATTGATGCAACATGTTTATGAAGAGTTTTGAGGTTTCAGCCACCAAAGAAATGGGGAAAGAAAGTAAACTTGTCCGAGTTCTAAGCTCAATGTTTTTACTCCAAAATCGTGATTCCATGATCAGCGCGTGCACTGCAAAAACAAAGCGAACAGTTCGAGTAGCCAATCCAAAAACTTGAATTTTTTTACTTAACCAGATCTCGCCTTTGGCCTCGTTCACAAGAGATCTGGGCGCGACATTTTAATAACATGCATTTTTTTCAAAGATCACAAGTGTACAAGTGTAGACCAAGAATACACATTTTTGAAATAGATTTTACAAAATAAGAACTCTCAAATTTTAGCCTAAACAGGTTCTTGTATAGAGAGCTCTAACAAGCAAATTCTAGCAAGGTTCTTAAAACCTAGGTTCTTACTATTCTCAGTATTCACCCCATTTTCTTTTTGAAGAAGAGGTTAAAGAAAGTAAATGGGGATGTGGGAAGCAAAAGAAGAAATTAAAAAAACTTAAAAGTTATGGGCTTTGGATATGAACTTTTCAATGACCTTTTTTAGATGGTGAACATTTTTTGTTCACTTAGGAAGGTCACGTCACTGCTCTTATTGTTCCTGGAAGTAAAAAGAGGGAAGCACGAACGAGAAGTGGCTATTATCTCGTCTGTTTCATGTAACATAGACGCTAAAGCAGGAAGAGTCTTGACTGTGCATATCTTTTTCCTGTTCCCCGTTTCCTCTTATTTTTCTAGTTTTTTTTTGGGAAGTGTAAGGTAGCCTTGAACCTCGTACTGTATAGCCCTCCATGCAGGCATCTTTAGGCAACCTGGTATTTCGTCCCTCCTGAGCTCCCCTATAAACACCTGCGTGGGAGGCTACATGCTGTGATCTGGAAAATTGTGAAGCTGTCTTTGCAGACCTCTGTCATGCCCACCGAACTTAAACAAGCTGTAATTCGTCCTTTGTTTAAAAAGCCGAGTCTTGATTATCAAGAATTTAAGAACTTTCGGCCGATCTCTAACCTCACCTTCTTGTTTAAAGTCATTGAGAAAGTAGTGGCTTTGCAGCTTGTTGACTACATTGACAACAATGGTCTGTGTGAAGTCTTTCAGTCTGCCTACCGTGCTCACCATAGCACCGAAACGGCTCTTCTCAGAGTCTACAATGACATTGCTATGTCCATTGACAATCAAAAATCTGTTGTTTTAGTTCTACTGGACCTGTCTGCTGCTTTTGATACAGTTGATCATTCTCTTCTCCTTGCTATACTATCTACCCATTTTGGCATTTGTGACCAGGCACTGGACTGTTTTCGTTCATATCTATCTGATTGGACTCAGTATGTCAGAATCCAAGATAACTCTTCTGATGTGCATGCGTTACCTTATGGTGTACCTCAAGGTTCCGTGTTGGGCCCCTTGCTGTATTCTTTGTACACTTCCTCCTTAGGTGATATTGCAAGATCTCATGGTCTATCTTATCACTTTTATGCTGATGATACACAGCTAGGTATATTTATCTTCTGAAACGTCATCGCCTGAGGATTTGTCAACATGTACATCTGCTCTTGAAGATTGTGTTCAAGATATTGACCTTTGGATGTTAAATAACAAGCTAAAGCTGAACAGTGGGAAGACTGAAATTATAGTTTTTTCATCCTCCTATCACCCACGTCCTGCCTTAAAAAACCTGGTGATTGCCTTTGACACTGTTGACTGTTCAACTACTGCTAAAAATATTGGGTTTATTTTTAGTAACTCTCTATCGATGTTGCCGCACGTTACTGCCGTTTGCAAGTCTTCGTTTTTTCATTTACGCAATATTTTTAAGATTCGCAAGTTTCTTTCTTAAGATACATGTAAAACTCTAATTCATGCCTTTGTTACTGCAAGGATCGACCTATTGTAACTCATTGCTCTACGGTCAGCCTAAACGTATCTCGAAACGTTTACAGAGTGTCCTAAATAGTGCTGCTAGGCTTTTTCACCTTACTAGTAGATATAGAAAATAACACAGCCCTTTCAGAAGGGGCCAAGGCCAGGGAGATTTTGTCATCCCCTAATACAGTGGAATATATGTCATCAGAGGAAAGTGATCCGGGGGATACGACAGAGGAACGATCAAGAGGCCCCAAGCCAAGAAAGATCAAAAAGCTGTCATGGGAACGAAGCAAACTGAAAAACATCAAAGAAATACTGGACAAATGTTATTTGTCAGGGCTTAATGCTAAGCAGCGTAGGACCAGCGCGCATGTAAGCAGATACGACGAAGTGTCTCCACGGCCTTGCCCTGTTGATGGCCCTCGTTGGGCAGTTTGCAGTCAGTGAAATCATGCACAGTATTTACCGTGTAAGTGAAGACTTACTTCTTATGTTAATTCATTTGTGCATTGGAATCTTTAGACTAGTTTTACGCTATGAGTTCGGAGTATTCTTTTTTCAACTTTTGCTGTGCAACGAAATTAATCAACATTCAAACACAAAGAGTGGGAATAACTGCCAACACGTAACGGGTAAAACATAAAATAAGCCTTAAAACATTTATAAAAGAAGACATGAATGCCAAGCTTAATATAACCTGCGATCAGGCGATTTTTTTTTTTTGGTGGGAGAAAGAAAAATACGCCTGATACAATTGTTTGTCAATTCGTCTGCATCTAGTCCACAATCTGGACTTCTTTCTGATTGGTCGTGAAACAATAGACAAAATGAACCTTTATTCTGACTGGTTACCCTGTAAAGAGGTTTCACATCCGGTCTAAAAATACTCTGAGCAAGACGAATTTTCATCATGGCGGTGGTAGTGCAAGACAGAGAAAGCGAGTTTGTATCAGCTTTAGCTGCGTCTCTCGAGGGTTTTGTGCACAGAACTCTTAAAGAGCAACAAAGGGAGTGTATTCGGCGAATTGTTTGTGAAAAAAAAGATGTTTTCGCTGTGCTTCCCATGGGATTCGGCAAAAGCGCCATCTATCAGTTGATACTCAGTGTTGTCGCTTATGGGGCATACTGCAGATGACATTAAAACAACTGTTGCTGTAGTAAGTCCCTTGGACTATATTCGAAAGCAACAGGTTGCTGCCATAGAAAAGTTAAACTTTGGAATCAGCGCTGCAGCTATGGGTGAATCCTATTTGAACAACAAAGAAATCGAAGAAGGAAGATTTGAAATTGTCTATGAAAGCGCTGAACAATGGCTGAGCGATCGATGGCGGAAAGCTTTGCAGTTTGGCGCTCTCCATCAGACTAAGGTGTTGGTTGTTGATTAAGTCCATACTGTGGCAACATGGTAAGTATTTTATCTTGTTTTTCGTGTCAAGTAGATTTTCTTGTTGGGTGGATTATATATAAATCAGTTTCGTTTTATGTAGGCTTAAGGTCATCTTGCATCTGTACAGTAGGTTGCCACTTCTGTTTCAGTTTTTGCTGGTCATCCATATTATTGAGTTCTGTTATGAAAACTGTTCACGTACAGAGTTAATTATTTCATTCAACTAGCGGACACCATCTGTCCACGATTTTGTGGTTTTTCATTGTAAAAATTGTAGTAATGTATGCTGTATCATCATGTACATGACTGCAGAAAAGTAAGCCCAAATAACAACCGGAGTCAAGTGAAATACAGAGCATTTTTTGCAACAACTCTGGACAAATCACGATTTTCATTTTCTTACTATTAGTAACACTTTTTTGTCAAAGGGGGCTTGGAAAGAAAGGAAAGGCTGCCTTTCGGGAGGCGTTTGGACAAGTGGCTGAGTTGCGATCCTGTCTGGAAAGTGGAACACCTCTTCTTGCGCTGACAGCAACTGCCCACAAGGAAATGAGGAACCGTTTAATCAAGTGCCTTGGTATGAAAAGTGGTGATCTCATTATTGTCAGCCCCAACAAGGATAACAGATTTACTGTCTTGCAAGCAGACAAACAATTTCTATGCTTCAACTGGCTGCTGTGATTGTTAAGGGAAGACAAAAAAACACCCCTTTCTCAATAATATTTTGTAAGACAGTAAATGACATTGTTTCCCTGCTTACTTACATCCTGATGAAACTTGGAAACTCTGGACTTTATGTTGATGGTGAGGGTCCAATTCATGAGAGATGTCTGCTTGGTGTTACTATTCGCAGACTCCTAAACGTCACAAAGATTGTGTGACATCCTCATTTGAGGGTGTTTCTGGAAATGTCAGAGTGGTTTTTGCAACAACATCCTTAAGTATGGGCATTGACTTTCCACAAGTGAAGTATGTTATTCACTACAGGCCATCTAACAACTTGACATCGCATCTCCAGGAAGCAGGACAGGGTGGGAGAGATGGAAACCAGGCATTTCATATAACATTATATCATGGAAGACATCTGATAACTTGTGAAGGAGATATCAAAACTGCTGTGAAACATTCATTGAAGTCATGCTGCCGAGTTGAATTTCTTCGTAGTTTCGATGAAACAGTTTCTGCTCTGGAACCACTGCATGACTGCTGTAGCGTATGTCACCAAAGTTGCAACTGCCTGGGTGATAGCTGCGGGAAAGTGGTTCCAGAATTTGATTTTGTACCAGAAAGCGTGGAAGATGTGAAAAAATCGCGAGATGTTTCTGAGAATGACAAGGAGTGTGTTAAAGAAGCCCTGAAAGAAGTCCAGCGATCACTGTCCTGCCAGACTCAAGTGCGTATGTTTGATGACTCTGGTATCATTTCTCATGGTTTTTTGGATAAGCTCATTGACAAAATTGTGCGTAATGTCAATTTTATTTACAATGTGCATGATGTAATTGAACACTGTAATCCACCCACTCTTAAGGTGGCAGTCATTATTCTTGAAATTGTTAAGGAAACATTTGAAGATGTGGAAATCACAGATGAGCTTTATTCTTTAGTTTATGCAAAGGAACAAACACGTTTACTGGACAAACTAACTGCCTCCTTAGGATCTACAATTGACCTGGAAATGTTTGATGATTTTCTGGATTTAGGAGAAGATTTATTGCCGTAAAAAATGATTATATTAACTTTTGTTATTAACACTAGGGTAGCATTAGTGCAGGGTTTAATTCTTAATTTTCAAGAGTGCTTAATGACATCTTATCTCCTGGCAAAGATCATTGCAGAACCGGATTCATGACAATTCTGACTCTCATTAAATTAGGTGGAAGGCAGCACTTAAGCAGTTTTAACTTTAAATGGACAGTGATCCTTCAGAAAGGATGATTTAATGAATATAGGTCAGGTGTATTTCTGGAAATAAAATCACAAATAATGGTACATAGAAAAGTGGGAAACTTCATGTTGAAACCAACATTTGAACAATGAAATAAGTGCCCCCTTCAAATTACGAGCCCAGAAATTTGAAATAGAGAGAAGGACCACTGTTCATTTAAAGTTAAGACTGCTAAAGTGCTGCCTTCCACCTAATGTAATAACAGAATTATTCTGAAGGGTTCTTCACAGTTTAGCATGAAATTTGTGCAGATGTTTTATCACTATTTGTGGATTAGCAATTTTCTGTGTGTTGTGGGAAAAGCTGGATATTAATAACTTTCTCGCAGGATCTACTTTTGAGTCAATTGTTTTGTCTATGAATCGGAACAAAAGGAACCAAGGAAGCTTATTATTTACAACTTTTATTGAAGAGGATCTATTTAAGGGACAAATAGTCATTTTGCTTGTGATACAAGCTACACTGTACATATCAGACGGTTGTCTACATCTGGTATCAGCCTTGTGACAAATGTTTTCATTCTGTGGACTAAAAAGAGTAAATTTTGCAGCGACTTATTGGCCAATGCAAAATACACCAAATGAAAACCCACAAGATTTTCATGTCACATACTTACACATAGAGTACTGAAATAAAACAGTTTCCCCACTATAAAGAGTTAGTGTTTTGTCACTTCATAAATCGCTTTCCAGTCATGAAACCTGTCTTTTGCCCACTGAAAAAAAAATCCCTGTAGTCAATGTCGAGAACATTGGACTTAAACTTTTGGAATGATGGATAGCCCTTTCTACCAGGTGATGTCTCAAACACCTTCCCACTGATCAGGTCTTTAACTATAATGCTAACTGTTTCCTCTGGATCTGTGTTTCCATGGTGCCCACTTCTTTTTACTTTGTTGCAATCCTTGTAAATGGTCTCCATTACTTTATTTAATGGCACAATAGATTGCGCTGCACGTTGTAAAGAGGCACTAGTGACATTAGCACCCATCCCCTTGGCCAACCTTTTAAGCAAAAGGTTAAGATGTTCCATGAACAAATCAAGTGGAATATTCCCGCCACATTTACCCTTAGAGTTGATAAATCTATTAAAAATCAAGCAAAAAGCCTCCTCTTCCGACAGAACTGCATAGATTTGAATAAAGAAAAGGAGAACGGCATAGGCATATTTGGTATTGTGGAACTGATATGCAAACAAAAGAACAAATTTATAACAGTTGACAAGGCGGTAGCCATCTCCGTCCTTCATCCCATCAGCTATATTCATTAGGAGTAAGCCAATTTGTAGTCTGCTGTTGTGATAATTGAGGATGGAGTCATCAACACATGGAGCCTCCTCAGAGTTTGGCTCATTTGGAGTGATTTCTGCATCTGCATGCTGCACACGTTCATGCCTAAGAAAGCAGCAGGGAAATCATGATGAAATTTTTTGTGGCATGCATTGTTTCATAAAAAAAAAATTAAAACTTCAAAAATTAAAATAGTTTCATAATGTACGTGTATCAACAGATTGTTACAACCATGTAGTCATTAACATTTTACTTCTCATGTATATGGAAATTTAAACTTCAGTATAAGAGAAGTATTTAGCCTGAATTTCAGATGTCTGTTTCTGGTTGCCCATTCCGAAGAAAAGACAGGAGTGGGCAACCAGAGAAATACATGTGAATTATTTACGTTACATTTAGTTAAGAAGGAGCTATTAATTTATAAATTATCTCTAAATTGATGTTGGCAATTCTTTTCAGTAAATTATTGCCAGAAGTAAAGACAATACATTTAAACGGGGCAGACTTCAAATAATAATTAGGATATTTTCAGCAACAACAATAATTGTTGCTGGAAATATGCAAATGTCATAACTGTTCATCAGTAGGATGCTTAAAATGTGTGCAATTCCACAATTGCCAAAGCATATATCAAACATTATAAGAAAAATACCTTTTCCTTGTTGCATCTGTTGCAAAGACAAGGGTGCAAGGCCCACGGCACTTGTAGTAACCGTACATATCTCGGTTTTCATCACCACCATAATCAATGGCCAATCCATGCCTTTGTTGTTCATGTCTGAATATTAAGGTACAACTACAGTCCCTCTCACACTGGGGATTTTTGGTCGATTTTCGAACCACCCCTACAGTTTTGGTCTCAGCAAGAACAAGGCACGATGGCCTTGTGGGTAGAAATCGGCTAGATCCAGGGCACTTCTTTTTGCAGGCCTGGCTGCTAATCTGATGAAAGAGAAAGCGTTTTGTTTGCGAAACGTTAAAGCCGAGGAGTGGAGCTTCAAATTGATACCAAATTTGTCGACTTTTGAGACTAGTTCTCAAGGTTTTTGGCTCAGGGAAAGCCGTGAAATTATTCGCGGCATTTTACTGTTCATTTTGTCGAAGTTTGAGCCCTACTGTTGCCTTTATTGTCGCATATGATGAAAATCTGAAACGATACGATTGCTGTTTATGGACAAAAGGACGTGAAGGAAAAACTTCACGAGGATTGAAGTTATTTTCAAGATTTTAGACCAAGAGGATGTCGAAGCGCACGAGAAGTCGAGAGAGGTTTCCAATAGGAGAGTGGGCTCGTAAAGCGAAGTATAAGCGCGTCAAAGCTGTGGAAGCGAGCAAAAGCCTTGAAAATATTAACCAGGAGATATCAACTGCTAAAGGGACCATAAAAATTCAAAAGGAAAATAATGTTCAGCTGCAAGGCGAAATAAAGGAGCTCAGGAGAAAGGTAAGCCACTGAAAAGGATGCTATTTTTTGAAGTTGATTGCAATGTAGTGACTTGAGTAATGAAGTGGTATTAAAGCTGAAGGATTACTGAAAGTAATCATTTGATAAACGTTGGTGTGATGTGGGTATCAATTAGTATATATAATAGGACTCCTTGCTTGTCCAATTAATTAAGAAAACATTGGATGAGAAATTCAGAGGAACACCAAAATTGGACGAGGCCGATGCCCGATTCCAATTTAGTGTTCCAAGAAATTTTCAAATCCAATGTTGTCTTAATTGGACAAGCATGGACTCCTGTTATTTGTTAATTATATAGCTACCTCTAAACCCAAACTATCCAAATTTAAAAAAATCTGGACACCTATCCAATTTAAAAAAAAAATTGGACACTTGCCATTATTGGATTTAGAGGTAGTTGTAATATATAGATTTAGCCAGGGCTAAAAGCGAAGCTCCCATTAATAAATTTAGAATTTAAATCAAATAATAAACTTGTAATCCACAAATCAGTTAACTTGAACGGAAAGCTAAGGCTGAGTGATTTTAGAGTGAAAAAAAAATCTTACATCGAATTGATAGCCGTATATATACACCCAAAAAATAGCAAACATCTTCGATCACATTTTAGAGCCATAATGGCTCTTGATCACAGTAGATTAGGCCTGGAAAACGAATTTTTGGAAAACAAATCAGGCCGAATTTTTTGCTTTCGACAAGTTTACTTAACAAAAACTTGCAAACAACTCTGGGAGCGTGTAAACCAACATTTCATACTTTTTACACATCACATCTGAAACAGTGATATGAGGCGTTGTTTTTATCATATAGACCTCAGACAAAATGCAGTATTTCACAATTTTTCAAGACAAATTGCACTCATTCAATATTCAGAACCGTCTGAAGCACTTTCGTGGGCTTTTAGCAAAACCGTTCAAATAATTTCCAAAATCATTTATACGGCCAGCCGGTTCTCACTTTTGACAAGCGCCAAATTTTCAGTGAACATTAAACGAGTTACGCTTCAACGTAATAAAGAATTTATTGTGTTTATTTTTTTTATTAAATGGTTTTATAACGATGTGCAATCTTAAAAAGCGTTTGATACGAGCAGCATTTTGAGTACTCCTGCAAGCGTTGTTTATGAACGACTGAAAACAAACTGCAAAGCGATTAAAATTGTAAGAGACTACTAACAATCAATAAAAGAAATGTAATTCGGTGAAACATTTACAGAGACAACAATTTTCATTCACGAAGACAAGTATTAAAGCGTCTCTAAAAACTGAGTCTTTAAGCTTAAGCTTAAAGCTAATTAGCCGGCTTCCTCTTGTTTACTGTTTTCAAAGATGAACTCGAGGCAAGAAAACCGCTCAAAGCTTTCTTTCTACAGCCAAAATTATAACTAAATACTCTTCGGAAAGTTTTTTCGTTCTATATGCGGAGAGAAAATATCGACTAAAGGCTTTTTAAAGTTCTGTAAGCTTATATATACTAGATCAGATCATTGTCTCAGATCTTAACACAAACGTGCATAAATTAGCCTGATAAACTGCGCTCGACTTCATGAAATTAGATATAAAAAACAAACATACACTGTATACAATAATTACTTAGGCTTACCATTCGAGATGCAGCTCTTGAAAGCTATAAAGTAAGGCCAGAATCGCTTGAGGGACTTTTCAATCCGCATCCAGCAAGGTAAAAACGAAAGCGATGCATCCGAAATCGGATTTCCAACTTTGGCAACCGGCGCATTTCCCGACCAAAAATTCAATAAACAAACCAGCCATGAATAAAAGAAGACTGTTGATAGCAGCTGTATTTCATTTTAAGCATCCAGTGGAAAAAGACAGTAAAAGACATCACAAGTTGACAAAATACTCTGTCAGCTTCAGCTGTCAAACTGAAAGTAAACAAGGTTCAAGATGCTGTATAAATCAGTTTCTGCATGAACTCACCTGTCAAATTTTGAACACGGAGCATAAAAAATTGGACGGTCGTAGAGCGTGATCAACGCGTGTCTATGGTCAGAAAAGTGAAAAGCTTCTGTCTTCCCTGCTTGTATCTTTAAATGACTGGCTGAATTTTCGAGTCCGAGATCAGTTTGAAATCAAAATGTTAATAGCGCGGGGCCATAGTGACATTAACACAACACTTTCTGTCATATGTCATTATTTTGCTGCCGTTCTCTTTGCCTTTGTATTTCTCTTTCGCGTTGCCTTTGTCTGTTCATTCTAGCTCTGTCTCGTTCTACTTGCCGGCGTTTTTCACTATAATTTTCTCTCCTTCTTCTCGCTCTGACTCTTTCTACTTGCTTTCTTTTTTTCAAAACCAGTTGCGCGATATAATTGCGCGACGTTGCGCCATGCGATTTCCCGCCAAAAAAATCTGTACTTTCCCCTACCCCAAGAGTCAATGCGGACTACTTTCCACTACCCGGAAAGTCCGTACGGACGGACGTACGCTACGTCATAACCAAATTTTCTGGGATGGATAGTTTACCAAATTTTCTTACCCATGGTGCTCCGCTGCGCGCGCGAAGCGCGCGCGGGAGCTCCGCTATAATTAAGGAGTAAAACTTCATTGTTATTGGCTGCATAAATTTATCTTAAAATTAAGGGATCGAGTGGTAGCATTCATAGTGCTACAGGACACAATAATCGTGTTCAAGGTAAACTATGAGGTTTTAATTTTTCTTACTCTCTTTTATTTCTGTCAACTTTACAATTCATTATAAATTAGAACTGCTCATTTATGGCTAGAAACTGGACATTTTTGAATGAAGCTGCTGTTCTGAAGCATAGCTGCACTGTCTTTTTCAGCGTGGCTTACTTGAGGATGAAAAAGTACACCTACCAAGAGGCTCAGTTGTCCCCTCAAAACTGGACAAGGAAAACAGTGACTGTACAGTTGGTCTGTCTGAGAAAATTGCCTCGAAGAGAAGGAAGCTAACATTGGATGCAGCAAAGAAGATCCATTCTTGCCCTCAAAGACCTGATGCAGTTTCCAAAACAGATACGTTGAAGGGACTGTGGAATACATTTGTATCTTATGCTGACAACAAAGATGTTGTTGAGTTATGCAGTAGATCTAGAAAGGTTAATACCTTAGTTGTACCTAAAGTAGTAAATGATTCTGTTGCTGCTTTTGAGAAATCAGTAAAAAATTATGAAAGATCTGTAAGTGTTATTTACAGGGGGGGTCTTCTAAGTAAAAGGAAGTACAATGAGTCGCGTTCCTCAGAAATGTTTGACTTTGATATTTCCACTGGAAAGCGAAGGCGAACAGAGTTCAAACGAGGCTGTAAGGTGCCCTCATTAGTACCATACAAAGATGTGATGAAATTCATATCAGAACAAGAGATTGGGACCCTTCACAATATACCTCTGGCCAGGGCTGACAGTGAAATTGAGAAGGAGAGTGAAGATGTTAATCAGAATCTGTTACCACTTGTACCTGGTCATTTCATTGACTTGTAAGAACGTTTGTTACAAATGGCTAATTTGTATCTTCATATTGACAGTTACAGGCCAAATTTTCTGAGTTGGTTTGGAAAGGAAAGGGGCAATTTTTTAGTGGCAATCGGAGCAGACGGTGCTCCTTTTGGTAAATCGAATGGAGCATGTGCTTGGCTGGTTTCATTTATAAATGTTACAGAAAGAGTGTCAAGCCCTTATGACAATTTCCTAATTTGTGGTGTTAATTGTGCTGAAGACCACCCATCAATGTTAGAGTATGGCAAACTTGTAAGATCACAAATCAGTGTTTTGGAAAAGCAAACATTTACCACAAAAGGCCAACAGGTAAAATTTTCCTTTAAACTGGTGCCCTCAGATATGAAATGGCTGAGTAAATTTTCAGGTGAAATTAGCAATGCAGCTACGTACCCAAACCCCTTTGCCAATGTGGATCAGAAAGGTTTGTCAGAGAGAGGTTGTACTCTGGGTACTGGTCCAGCAGATAAATGGAAACCGTGGGCCTATGATTTTAGAATGCAGGTTGCTAAAAAAGTTTCACAGTTTAAGGAAAAACAATCAAAACCAACCAATGCATCTCAAATGCAAACTTTCCGCAACAAGGTGTGCCAATTCATAGCTAAACTTAAATCCAGACAAGAGTATGAACCAATACTTGGTCCTCTTGTCCAAAATGCAAAGGCTGACAGTCTCCATGTTGGCAACAACTGCTGGGGACATTGGTTCAAGAAGGTTTTTACCACCGTTCTAGCAAATGCAAAAGTGGGCTCAAATGTGAGGTCAGTTTTCCAGCTTCCAGAACACAACCCTTTGCGCAAACATTTAAAGACCTTAAGGTTTAAATTGAAGTGCAAAAAGCTGTACAACAAGATTTGTCGTTGGTTTAAGAAAAAGCGAAAATCTGGTGATTTTGAATTTAGGTTTACTGGTGAGGAGACCAAAAAATTTTGCCATGGATTCATGTTTATCATTGAAGATCTCATTGGTGATGGCTCAGATATAGAGCAACCACACAACTTCTTTGCCTTGTCAATGGCAAGAATGGGCCTTCATTTAAGAAATGCCTTGTCTCTTGCCGTCAGAGTCTCAGATATTAAGAAAGAAGATTTGCCTAAATTAGAAGGGGATTGCAGGATGTATTTCAATTGAGCATCTCTATGTCATTCCACCAATGTTAGTGTCTGGACAATGGGACATTGTGTACGTTTTCACTCAAAGCAGTTAATAGAAGATTTGAAAGTTGACCTTGGGATCAATTCTATGCAGGGGAGAGAGGCAAAGCATCAGCAAGTAGCATCTTTTGCAGAGTTCCCCCTTCCCAAAAATAGGTGGGAAAAAGTATTCAGACATGAGCACATGGCACTGATTTGGTTAAGGCAGCAGAATCCCTTCAGTGATGGTTACTCTAAGTGCAAAGGCAAATACATTCCACCAAGGTGTTATACCAATGAATATTGTTTTTGTGGAATTGCTTTCAATAGCGATGGTAAATGTAAATATTGTGACAGTAAACTGTCAAAAGAAATTGCCACTTGTGCTTCTTCTGGAAGCCTGACTGTGAGGATGACTGATTGAGGAGTGCTGAACAAGCAAGACAGCAGCCAGGTCTGTAAACAGTGCAACAGCCAAGGAAATATCAAAAGAAATAGGTCAATGTTATGGACATCTCAAAATGAGATATTATAGTAGAGATCTTTCTCTGTAGCATGTTGGTCTTTAATGATTGCAAATGTAAACAATGTAATTTAAACACTTGTTTGATGGTTTTAACATTGTGTTATTCTAGCTGGCAAATTAACTTAGCCTGTTAAGAAGATTGAGATAAGTTGGATATTCCCTCCTGTGGCATTTTGGTCTTTTATGATTACAAATGTAAACAATGCAATTTCAATAATTGTTTATTGTTTTTAACATTATGATATTCTAGCTGGCAAATTAAGCCTGTTTAGAAGATTGAGATAAGTCGGAGATGTTTTTCTGAAGCATGTTGGTTTTTAAGAATAAAAAATGTCAACAATACTAATTAAACATTTGTTTGTTTGTTTGTTTGTTTTTTTTTTACACTGTGTATTACTAACCTGTAAACACATTTGCCTGTCATTGCTCCGCCACTGGATGCATTGAGTGAAACAATGTATCCAGCAGCGGAGCGATGACAGGTGGCTGTATTCATTTGCTGGGGTATTTCAATAACTACAACAAAAACTTGGTTATTAACCATCACAACAGTTTCACAGTTTCAAATTCAACATATGAGAGTCTGGGAGGGGGCTTTTTCTTATGTGGCCTACAGGGGGATGTGCCACTTGACAGGGTTTTATTTTATGACCTTTCTGCCATCAACAGGGTATATGATTTTAGGCAAGTCTGTCCTAAACAGGGTCTGAATCTGTCCTAAAAAGGTAAGGTTGCACAATTGTCATTGTTTAATATGGTTTGTCCTGAGCAGTTTCCTAAAAAAAACATGATGCCTAAAAAAACATGATGGCCTACTCAGGGTAGGGTTTTAAGGTCTTATCCTAAAAGAGGGTCAGGTTTTTATACCCTCAGTGGCACCCCTATACACCAACATTGGTAAAATTCACTCTCCCATTTCTCTAATTTTTTTGAAGCATTCGGATGAGCTGCCAATACTTGTGTCTGGACCAGGGATAAAATATCTTTGTACTTTCCATGGTGGTAACTGCTATTCTGCTTTTCGTGGAGCAATTTTCTGGCCTTATCCAAGGTCTTTACTTCAGGAGTCAAACCTAATATTTTCGAAACAGACTGAGCAAGTTTTGTTTGTAAACACTCAACTGCACAGTCAACATTTGCTGTACTACTTCTCTCTTGAATTGCAGGCTGGTTTGGTTCCAATATTTGATCACCAGCACCTGAACAGTGAACAGCACTAAAATGAGTGGAACTTGATTGTGCAACATTTGGTAAGTTAATTTCATTTGCTGTACATATTTCCTGCTCACTCATGTCTTCACCTAGCTCGTCTCCATCTAAACTGAGGTCTTTGCAAATTACTTGTTCAGTCTCTAGCTGTTCTTCATTGACAGAGTCATCGGCTTTGTCATGAATGTTTCCATTTTCATTGTCACACGTTGCAGTACAGACCATCAGTTGGTCTGCACTTTGGTCACCTCCACTTTCTGGCCAAGGTTCCTCGAGGAAAACTCAGTAGTATTCTGTGAATGTTAAATTTCCATCCGGATCATAAACTTTCACCTTTCTGATTGGTAAATGAAAATCTGCTCGAGTCAAGCATTCAACCCACTTCTCTTTGAGGTATTCCTTTTCAGCCTGGAAAGAAGAGGAGCGAAAGTGGTGAATTGGAGGGCCTTCATCTCGAAATTCAGGTTGTTCTTTACTGTCATCAAATATGATTTCCTTGCTTTCCTCATCTGCATGCCACCAAACACCCCTTCCACAAAGAAGAAAATCGCTGATCTGTTCTAGGTGGGCCTGATAGATTTCACTGTCCAGGAGCTAATTAGGAATGGAGGTGTCAGGAAAGTTTGGGAGATTCTTTGTAAACTGTCCAATCTTTGACTGTTGATCTGGCACTCTTGTTAGACCTGAAGCTTTTTTCTGCTTGAACTCTTATTATACTGTTTGGAATAATGTGCTCGGGATGACCATTAGAGGTTGATTTGCTGATGGAATTTATGGTGCTGAATTCTCTTTCTTCTTCTTCAGTGTCTACTGAGCTAAGGGAAATTATACGAGATGTAAGAGGAGCATGGCATGTGATGCTGTGGTAGTATATTCCAAACAGCTTCCTGTATGTCAGCACTTGTGGGATTTTAAAGACTTTACAGACTGCAATAACATGACGAAATGTCACATTTAGCAAACGCAAAATAAATCTTGGTGTGCGCTTCTCCGCTGGGGCATACAACATTTCACAAAGTTCTGCAAGAGTGTGCAGCAGTCTCTTGATTGTTAAACGGCAGTGTTTTCCAAGGTTCAAGGCCAGTACAACACAGCAAAGGCGGTAATCTGAACCTCGGAGCTTCTCTTTTGTTGAAAGTACTGCCTCCATTGTCTCATCAAATAGAACTTTTTCTTCATCATTGAGGTGTTTGGGTAGTTCTTTAAATATGTTGTTGATATGCTCTTTGAGGTCATGGAGAGGCTCTACTGGTAACACTTCATAGTTTCCTAAGCTGAGCTCTTGTAAGGAGCATTCTTGTTGGGGGAAACAAAGTGCTGGAACTCGCTGTATGCCCCTCAGTACTTCTTTCAAGTTAGATTCCAATGCAGGTTTTAGTAAACCATCAACCGATAAGTGCCGCCCCTTGCACTCTCTTATCAGCTCTTCTTTGTTCATGTTTTTGAAAGGATGCACTCCACAATTTCTTCTTTCTTTTCCGGCTGGGCCTTCCAGTACCTTTCTCCTTCTTTCTTCGAGGGTAATCTGCGGTGCCCTCAGTGAACCCACATGGTCAATATAGCTGGCTGATGCCCCAGTGCATCCACAGCACCCGAAACCACCACCAATCTGCTCTCCACTTTCTACCTCTTGCGAAGGATGATCCCCATGAAAGAACCTGCAAATGTCCCTAATGGAGACCTTTTGGGAGGACAAAAGTTGATTTCCAAGCTCATTTATATCTTCCAGCCTAGTTTCACTGTACAAAAGCTGATCTTCAATGGTGTCCCTACATCTAGCCATGATGTAAATGTGAGGCTTCTCCACTAACTCCTGAACATTCTTCCCATGAAGCTCTTCAGAAGTATAGTAGAATGCAGGATCATAGATTGTATTTACAGTTAGCAGAAGGTGGCCATGGTTCATAATACTGGAATGGTCTGACCAGATCATGAGATGTCTTGTGCATTCATGTAACTTTAATACCTTTAATAACTCCTCCCTTAGTCCATCTATTTTCAGCTCTCCAAGCTCCCTTAAGCGACTGTTTATGTCATCCACACTCATGCAATTGTAGTGGGCATCTGAGTGGTCTCTGAGAAGACCTTCCTTCTCATGCTCCTCCAAAAGCGCTTTACAAATCTCAAGCAAAGGTATCTTCCTTCCGTTAACTGTGAAATACTCTGTTTTTTATGTACCGTCAGGCTGTAGCATTAACTTCTTGTAGCGTTTTGGGGCAATGATCTCTCCTAAGCGTTATTCTCCAGCCCTAATCTTGGCCCTCAAGGTTTCTCGTAAGGCAGCACTAGTACGGGGGACAGGTGTTGTGATTTCACCACCAAACATTCGGTTGAGGCGTCTTCTTCTCACAGGCTGAGCATTTTTTCTTGCACCTGTAAACTTTGCCACATCCACCCCTTTAGTTTGAAGAAACTCTTTCACCACCATATTTCCCACCTTACTTTTCTCTGCTGCTACATACTTCCTGGACAGTTCTGAATAATTAATCTGAAAAGTATTTTGAAGATTTAGTATTCTTGTTTATCCCTCAGATTTCTAATTAAAGTAAATGGTGGCATGAAATGTTCATCAAACAAAGACATGTACTTTTGTTTTTCTGTTTAAGCAGAACTAGTGATTAAAAGTTAAAATAATCAGTTGATTATGCCTTATCACAACTAACATCCTCACCTTTTGACCTTCTTTCATTGAATTTACTTCTTGCAGGAGGCCCCCCTTGTCAAAGTAGATTGATGCTGGATCAGGAGAATGACGCTTCTTTTTGCGCAGACCAGCCTCCTCAAGTGCCTTCCTCTTGAAAGTTTGAACGCTTGCCTCATGGGTGGACTCGAAGTAGAGAGATTTTCTTTGCGGATCTCTCTGCTTGTACACATGCCGCGTTCCCAGCATTGTCTCACAGTAACCTTAGACTACTGGTCTTCTGTTTTGCGTTTGATGGACCTTAAAGTTTTCCTTCTTTCTTTTTGTTTTTGCGCCTTAGTTTTAGATTGTGTTACACCAATTTCAGGTACTTTTGTTAAGGCTTCAGCGAGGTTCACTTTGTAGAGACTCTTAAATGGTTGGGTTATTTTGAAATATGTCAGCTTAGCAGTATCCTGAATTGTTGCTTTACTAGGTTTCACAACTTTCGTTGTTTTCTTTTGTAAGCTTGTCACTTCCTTTGCACATGCAGACATCGGGTTGTTCACCTTAAGTCGGTTAGACCTCAATGGGAATAGTGACTGCACAGGCAGATGATTAACCGCACATGCATTGCAGTTAGATATTGTGTGCAATCCTCTCTTTGCTGCTGAAAGAGACTTCCGTGCTGAAGGACTAAAATGCGTGAAGTATTTTGCTTTGTCTTCTCCCTGCCATTTATCAAAGTTTTTCAGCAACACAGGCAGTCTCTTGTCAAAAATATTCTGAGTAACAGCAAATGCCTCTTTATTGTCTGAAAATGTACTCAAAAACTTCTGTAGACGAATGCCTTTGTCACGAATAACTTTTCCATTGTCGTCCAACATACTGTACTTTGCTGCCACACGCGAGAAGCCACAGTTAAAGAATCCCGCCATTACATCAACGATGTTGAGCCAATTTTTTCCTTGTTAGGAACTGATTGTCTCTATAGCAATGGTAAGTTTTTGAATTCTGGCGATTTATAAGCACGTACGTTGGTTTAGAACAGTGGAAAATAATTTTCAATGAAGAGCTTCTGAAACTACACCTTGCGATTGAACCCAACGTGAACATCTAAAAATCGCGCCAAATCTGCGAGTATGGTTTAGAATAGAAACATGATATCTTATTTACAGACAAGCGTTGTTATTAGAGCCAAAGCACTCAAATTTAGGCGCACTTTCTCGAGGAAAACGGAATTGATTTATAACAACGAACAAAGAGGGATCGAAATAAAAACCTCTCATCTTACTTACTATTAAGACAAAATGTAATAATAATAATAATAATAACTTTAATAGTAACATCCTCGTGAGGTTTTTCAGGAACTATTTACAAACTATTTCCAATTTATAAAAGCAAAAATGACAATAAAAACTCGAAATCACAATTTATGATGGTATTCTATTAAAATCTAACGCTTATGAAGGAAATGTCTGCCTCAATAGTGTGTTTTCAGGGCGCGCTTGAAAGATGCCAATGAGGCACTTTGCCTAAGTTCATTATGCAAGTTATTCCATATGTAGGCCCCTCTGTAGGAAAATGTGCGCTGGCCTATAGCCGTTTTGTATATCGGAATCTGCAAAGAGTTCCGTGTACGAGTGTTATGAGTATGTATATTTGAGCGCTTGGTAAACTTGCTCGTTAAGTATTGAGGCCCAAGATCGTTCTGACATTTAAAGGTCAAAACGGAGTCTCTATAGAATAATTGTTCTTTAACAGGAAGCCAGTTTAGCTCTCGAAGCAAAGGTGTTACGTGGTCAAACTTCCTAGAGTTTGTTACGATCTTGCTGGCAAAATTCTGAACAGATTGTAATCTGTTTATATTCTGGAGTGTAGTATTAGACCATACAGATGAGCAGTAAAGCATCGTGCTAAAGACTAATGATGTTATTAACAATTCTAGTGTTTCCTTGTCGAAGCTCCTTTTGACTATTTATTTGGCAAAGCTTTGCGAAACAAGATGACACTACACATGAAATATGGTGATCGTAGGTCAGATGGGGATCAAGAAAGACTCCCAAGTCCTTGGCAGAGTCTGTTGGCTTCAGTGTTTTACCTAAGAATACCACTCCAGGGTCTTCTAGTAACCTGCTTAACATCTGTCTGGTACCGAGGAAAAGGAGTTTAGTTTTATCGGGATTGATAAGTAGATGGTTCTCACAGCACCATTGAGCTACACTGTGAAGGTCTTGTTCGAGCTTTTCAATGGCAGCAACAAGCTCAACGAGAGGAAATGACATGAATAGCTTTCAGTCATCCACATACGATTCTAGGTTGCAAAACGTCGGTGACGTGGGTAAATCGTTGAGATAAATGCAGAACAACAATGGTGATAGGATTGCGCCTTGAGGAACTCCGTGAGTTATAGGTAGAGTGTCAGAGTGGGTGGAGCCAATTCGCACGTATTGCCTGCGACCAGTTAAGTAGCTCTTGAACCATTTGACAGTAGAGGGTGAGGCTCCTAAGATGGAGAGTTTGTGGAGCAACCTTGCATGGTCTATACTGTCGAAGGCCTTGGATAGATCTAATAGTACTAGTGCTGTTATCTGCTTTTTATCCATTGCTTCGAGTATCTTATCCGTGAGCAGGATGTTTAAGGTCTCTGTAGAATGAGCTTTTTTATTGCCGCTTTGGTGTGAGGTAAGGCGGTTGTTTTTCATGAGATAGGCGCTGAACTGATTCAAAACAATCCTTTCGAGGACCTTTGAAGCTACGGCTAGCAGAGATAACGGTCTGTTGTTGGCAGCTTTTTCATGGTCACCGTCTTTAAGAATCGGAATCACCTCAGCCTCTTTCCAGTTGTAAAACACACAGGGACAAAATAACATCTCTACTGTAACTAAATGCTTTTAATTCAATAAAATCGCAAATATAATTTACAGAAAACGTATGTTAGAATGAAAAACTTACACATTTCATGACACACAGTCAGTTGCAAGATCGTCCGCCATTTTGGAAATGAACGTGTTGCTATGGCAGCATCCTCGGTTTTAGCCTCCCTGATGTTGAGCCGTGTGCTCAAACATGGCGGACAAGTCGGTCACACTAGCAGCGAAATACAGGAATTGCACCGACCTGTGATTGGAAGATAAAAATAGTATGTCAGTGGCGATGACATGACAATTCGTTACGTTACCCGTTTCAAGAGTAATGGTTTTTACACGAAAAAGACAGTCCACAGGAAAATACAATATAATATTAAATATCTCTCAAAGACAAACAGTGCAGTATTCTTTTGAAGTCGGCTGACTCGCTAAGAGTCAATGTCTTATTTAAGTTGAAGTTCAACTGTCGCAAATCAGATAACTTCACTGAGTGATTCAGCAAAAAAATCAGCAAAAAATTATGAAAGATCTTTAAGTGTTATTTACAGGGGGGGTCTTCTAAGTAAAGGGAAGTTCAATGAGTTGCATTCCTCAGAAATGTTTGACTTTGATATTTCCACTGGAAAGCGAAGGCGAACAGAGTTCAAACGAGGCTGTAAGGTGCCCTCATTAGTACCATACAAAGATGTGATGAAATTCATATCAGAACAAAAGATTGGGACCCTTCACAATATACCTCAGGCCAGGGCTGACAGTGAAATTGAGGACAGTGAAGATGTTAATCAGAATCTGTTACCACTTGTACCTGGTCATTTCATTGACTTGCAAGAACGTTTGTTACACATGGCTAATTTGTATCTTCATATTGACAGTTACAGGCCAAATTTTCTGAGTTGGTTTGAAAAGGAAAGGGGCAATTTTTTAGTGGCAATTGGAGCAGACGGTGCTCCTTTTGGTAAATCGAATGGAGCATGTGCTTGGCTGGTTTCATTTATAAATGTTACAGAAAGAGTGTCAAGCCCTTATGACAATTTCCTAATTTGTGGTGGTAATTGTGCTGAAGACCACCCATCAATGTTAGAGTGTGGCAAACTTGTAAGATCACAAATCAGTGTTTTGGAAAAGCAAACATTTACCATAAAAGGCCAACAGGTAAAATTTTCCTTCAAAATGGTGCCCTCGGATATGAAATGGCTGAGTAAATTTTCAGGTGAAATTAGCAATGCAGCTACATACCCAAATCCCTTGGCCAATGTGGATCAGAAAGGTTTGTCAGAGAGAGGTTGTACTCTGGGTACTGGTCCAGGAGATAAATGGAAACCTTGGGCCTATGATTTTAGAATGCAGGTTGCTAAAAAAGTTTCACAGTTTGAGGAAAAACAATCAAAACCAACCAATGCATCTCAAATGCAAACTTTCCGCAACAAGGTGTGCCAATTCATAGCTAAACTTAAATCCAGACAAGAGTATGAACCAATACTTGGTCCTCTTGTCCTAAATGCAAAGGCTGACAGTCTCCATGTTGGCAACAACTGCTGGGGACATTGGTTCAAGAAGGTTTTTAGCACCATCCTAGCAAATGCAAAAGTGGGCTCAAATGTGAAGTCAGTTTTCCAGCTTCCAGAACACAACCCTTTGCGCAAACATTTAAAGACCTTAAGGTTTAAATTGAAGTGCAAAAAGCTGTACAACAAGATTTGTCGTTGGTTTAAGGAAAAGCGAAAATCTGGTGATTTTGAATTTAGGTTTACTGGTGAGGAGACCAAAAAATTTTGCCATGGATTCATGTTTATCATTGACGATCTCATTGGTGATGGCTCAGATATAGAGCAACCACACAATTTCTTTGGCTTGTCAATGGCAAGAATGGGCCTTCATTTAAGAAATGCCTTGTCTCTTGCTGTCAGAGTCTCAGATATTAAGACAGAAGATTTGCCTAAATTAGAAGGGGATTGCAGGATGTATTTCAATTTAGCATCTCTATTTCATTCCACCAATGTTAGTGTCTGGACAATGGGACATTGAGTACCTTTTCACTCAAAGCAGTTAATGGAAGATTTGAAAGTTGGCCTTGGGATCAATTCTATGCAGGGGAGAGAGGCAAAGCATCAGCAATTAGCATCTTTTGCAGAGTTCTCCCTTCCCAAAAATAGGTGGGAAAAAGTATTCAGACATGAGCACATGGCACTGATTTGGTTAAGGCAGCAGAATCCCTTCAGTGATGGTTACTCTAAGTGCGAAGACAAATACATTCCACCAAGGTGTTATACCAATGAATATTGTTTTTGTGGAATTGCTTTCAGTAGCGATGGTAAATGTAAATATTGTGACAGTAAACTGTCAAAAGAAATTGTCACTTGTGCTTCTTCTGGAAGCCTGACTGTGAAAATGAAAGCAATTTTGAGGAGTGCTGAACAAGCAAGACAGCGGCCAGGTCTGTAAACAGTGCAACAGCCAAGGAAATATCAAAAGAAATAGGTCAATTTTATGGACATCTCAAAATGAGATATTATGAGATCTTTCTCTGTAGCATGTTGGTCTTTAATGATTGCAAATGTAAACAATGTAATTTAAACACTTGTTTGATGGTTTTAACATTGTGTTATTCTAGCTGGCAAATTAACTTACCCTGTTAAGAAGATTGAGATAAGTTGGATATTCCCTCCTGTGGCATTTTGGTCTTTTATGATTACAAATGTAAACAATGCAATTTCAATAATTGTTTATTGTTTTTAACATTATGATATTCTAGCTGGCAAATTAAGCCTGTTTAGAAGATTGAGATAAGTTGGAGATGTTTTTCCGAAGCATGTTGGTTTTTAAGAATAAAAAAAGTCAACAATACTAATTAAACATTTGTTTGTTTGTTTTTTTTTTTACACTGTGTATTACTAACCTGTAAGCACATTTGCCTGTCATTGCTCCGCCACTGGATGCATTGAGTGAAACAATGTATCCAGCAGCGGAGTGATGGCAGGTGGCTGTATTCATTTGCTGGGGTATTTCAACAACTACAACAAAAACTTGGTTATTAACCATCACAACAGTTTCACAGTTTCAAATTCAACATATGAGAGTCTGGGAGGGGGCACTTCCTTATGTGGCCTACAGGGGGATATGCCACTTGACAGGGTTTTATTTTATGACCTTTCTGCCATCAACAGGGTATATAATTTTAGGCAAGTCTGTCCTAAACAGGGTCTGAATCTGTCCTAAAAAGGTAAGGTTGCACAATTGTCATTGTTTAATATGGTTTGTCCTGAGCAGTTTCCTAAAAAAAACATGATGCCTAAAAAAACATGATGGCCTACTCAGGGTAGGGTTTTAAGGTCTTATCCTAAAAGAGGGTCAGGTTTTATACCCTCAGTGGCACCCCTATACACCAACATTGGTAAAATACCCCTGCCCCTCTCCTCTCCCCCACCTGGACAAACAAGTTCCCAAAAATCCTCAAATAATGTCAGATAAATTGCGGAACATTATCACTGTTCCATGCACCATAATGACAATGCACTTTGACTACTTCATTCCATAGTTGTAAGTGATAGTGAAGGGGTCCTCTCTGTCAATAACAATGTTTGTCCTTCCCTTTCCCGGAAATTCCTGCTTCAAAGTGGTACTCTCATTGTCCAGGCAAAAACGTAACATCTGCTGCAGCTTCGGCTTGCTTGTAATCTCAACAACCTGCTCTTTATTTGTCCGTCCAGTGTGAGTATCTACACCAAAACGTGATGTGCTCGTCAGAATATCCACAATGTGTTTGAAAATATATTCCTGAAGCCGCGAAGTAAACTCGATGATCCATGGATGAGAATGCTTGGCTGTTAGAAATTGTCTTCGCATCAATGTCTTTCTCCAGTAGCTAACTTCATTGCACGCCATGCGATGCAAGTCACACTTCTTGAATTTCAACTTTTCCCTTACACTTGTCTCCGAGTGACACTTCATCGTTTGCTCCATAAGTACTGAAAGCTCCTTAAATAGGTCTTGCAAAGCCAGCTTCTGTGTAACATCATCTCTTGGAATACAATATAATATAATATCTCAACTCGAGTTTTTCGTAAAATTTATCCACTTCTTGCGATATTTCCTTGGCTATTGCACTGTTTACAGACCTGGCCGCCATCTTGGTTTAGGGCTTCCAACCTAGTTCCCAGGGCTATCCGCATGTGGCGGCAGAAGAGCCTCGACTTCGTGATTACATCAAAATCGACCAAAAATCCCCAGTGTGTTATAACAAATTTCATAGTTAGTAGAACCATAAGCATATCAAAAACCAATGAAATTTAATAAATTTAAAACTTGAATACAGAAATTCATCCATACCATCCAAACCACTTCAGGCAGCTATCACATTCAATCATGTTGATGTTGTCTCTCGCCTTTTTGCAGGCATGGCATAAGCAATCATCACAAGAAGTGAGCAATTCACCATTATGATTATCAGCAGGAAAAACTTAAAATGAGGAACATAATGACAAAATGAGACATGCAAGTCATGTACAGATGTAGATAGTGGGCAAAAATAATATTGATTTAATATTAAAATAAGAAACATAGTACACAACTGATAACTGTTAAATGATTTTCTTATTCCCACCATTTTTTGGTCTAACCTCAAGACCATTATTATAATTATTGCAAACAGGGCAGGGTCTTCAGCAGTAAGAACATGGAGAAGAGATTAAATTTCGTTCTGCTAAACACTGAACCAAATGTAAGGCCTCTTAAAAATTTTACACATACGAAACTTTACTATTGGCTATAAACAACTTTACTGACCTCTGCTCCTGAACAGGTTTTCTTTCTCTTCCCGTGTTGGCTTTGAGTACCTAATATTGTCCTGCCTTTTCCTCTTTCTCTTGTTGGAGAAGAACTGCCTCTGTCTGTCCATGTTCTTGTTGGCTGGACCATTTTGTTTGAGGATCAGATTTGCTGGGGTGGATTTCTGCATAGATTCAAAAAGGAAATGCTTTGCAGATAGTCCTTTGTCCAGTTCAAGGAGAGCCTCCTTATTAGTGCAATGTTCAACTTCATTCAACAGTTGTAAAAGTTTTCCTCTTACCTTCACTTGCAAAGCAGCAACATCACATTGTGCTGTACTGCAGCGCTTAATCTCTGATACCAACTCTTTGACTTCACTTGCATAGTCAGATTCATGCAAATCATGACCTTGATTTTCTGATGTGTATAAAGCAGAAGGTCCATAATTAATGTTGCCAGTAGTTTCTGCTAAATTCATGGATACCTTGTGTATGTGTTTGCATATGGTTCCATGCATAAGACTGTTTATGCAAGTGCAGGAAAAGGTGTGCAGGCATGTTTCTTTGCAGGAATGACACTTTAAACTGCAGTGACTTTCTGGACAATGTTCATTAATTTTGTGCACTTGGTAAACATGGTTTCCATCTTCAGATGCCACTTCCCACCCATGTCGGTCTTTAACTGGCAACACAATGGTCTTCATCACCCTGGCAGTGGCATGATGGTTCTGAATTTCACGAATACGCACAGTAAGCTTACCCTTGGTTAGTTTGATCGTTCATTCATATGTTTTGTCCCTTATGAATTTAACGACGTTTAGAAGGCAAATGTCAACTCTTTTGTTGAATTTTCCTTTTAGGTAGTTGTGCTCGAGGGTGCGATGGAAGGCTTCCACATACATGTTTGTATTTATGCCTAAGGCCAATCTGTGGCAGAAAGCCCATTCCTGCACCTTTGGTACCCATTCAGATACAAAATATTGGTGGAAAGCTGCTGTTTGGTCACAGGATTGCAGCTGGTTCAGAACCTTGGCTAGTAGGTCGCTGAAGGTGGTCTCACTCGTCTCCTCCAAGACTGTGCGCAACATCTTATAAACCTCAGTTTGGGCTGTGACATCTTTGACTTTCTCCCTTATATTCTCTCGCCACGCCTTATCCACATGCCATGTGCATAGCCACCCAAGCATTGTAATATTGGTTGGCAAGATCACTCGAGCCACTTTGCTGTAATTGGGCCACTGTTTTGTTTGATGGCAGTAAAGAAGACTGTCATGAATGTGGTGTCTTCATGGTTTGATAGGCACCATGCTACAGGGAAGCCGGATCCAAACTCATCAACAACCATTAAAGTTGTAAGATAAAAGTCGTAGCCTGTAGTACCATGGGTGGAGTCAATACAGACCCCTTTACTGCCAAATTTCTGGAGCATGGTTTTCTGTATTGGGCTTTGCACCACAATCATGAAGTCTTCTTCTTGTAATGGGTAATCATCAATTTGTTCTCCTTGCATCTTGTGAAAGAGGACAGGGTTTGTTTCGGGATTGCTTCTCCATTCTTCTATCCATGCAAGGACACTTTGCTGATCATTTGCATGGCGCTGCACGTTCTTCAAACCATAAGCTTGTTGTATGTTGTGGATATACTTTTTCTCAAGGATATGATGCCTTTGAAGACTTTCAGGCATGGATTGGCGAATGTCATCTAAAATGTTATCGGCTGAAACACCTTGCTGAATTTTACTGGCAATCTCCTGGCGCCCATGTTTGGATAACCAGATATGTTGAAGTTCAATTGCATGGCCATGATGAGTGTGACATGCCTGCACATTAACTCGCCCTTCGGTTGTTCTGACCACCTTCAATCCAGCTGTACAGTTCATGTTCAGTTTGCAAGTACCTTCATAAAAAAGTAGAAAGAAATAATTAATATATGTAAACCAATCAATAAATGAAATACTGTACATGCTATTTAACCTCTTAATGAAAAAAAAAATGAGTACAAAAAAATGTCTATTATATTTGTATCCATTTAGTTGTCTGCAGGTCACTGGGTAGGCTAATGCCTTTTAAAAAAGAAGTATTTCTTCTTGTGAAAGGGATTATCTGGTCCTGTTCAGTGTTCCATAGAGATATTTTAATTTGTTCTTGCATTTAATTATTGCTATTTGGGTTTAAAATAAGCTGAGATCACTTTGAACTGAAGCTAGTTTTAGCTTTGTGCCTCTTCTGTTGTACTTTTTTCCTCTCATTACTGTGTATATTTATAGCAAAAATACCTTGGCTCTTTGTGAGACGCATCCCTTTCTCAGTAGGCCTGTACATGCCACATCAGTTGCAACTGAAGTACTGGACATGATCTCTTTCCTTCTCACTGACCTTAACTCCTGTTGTCTTCACATAACTGCAGCTTTGCAAGTCTTCAATAGTGGCTTTCCATACTTCAAATTCTGAGAAGAAAGATCACAGATTTTATGAACGTGGTAAGTTGACGTTCTAAAATTAAAAGGTCCTTTTTAGCATAGATGATTGCTTGAACTGACAGAGGTTTGTTTAGCATTATTTACCTCAATTGATTTGCCTGGCAATATCGTTACATTAGTTTAGAATTAGTTATTTGTCTCAAGTGAAGTTGTGATGTGATTTGCCATTTTAGATTTAATCGGACAATGGGGAAGATTAGCAACACTTACTTCCTTAAAAATAAAAACAATAATATTATCAAATTTCATATCTTAATATTATGAATGATTATCCCACCTGCTTTGTTTTCAAAAGTAACTGTTTCGCAGCTGAATATGACACTGTGTTGTCGGGATAGGTGTTTTCTAAGGTCACAAATCCGCCTGCAGCGAAATCCACAGTGGTGGCAGATGCACGCCCCTGTCATGTTAAATTCATTATCGTCAGATTGGCTGGGATGTTTCCTCTCGAAGTGCCTCTTGAGGGTGAAAGGGCGTGCGAAATGTTCCCCACAGTGAGGGCATGTTAACTGGGCTGCTGAAGGTCCATCATGATCACTCTTCACCTCAGATTGACATTTCCTTGCATGATGATGTTTGATTGGC